TTTATCGTAAGATTATTATGATGCATAATTGTAACAACAATATTATCAATTATTTTTCAATAAAATAACAACAAAAACTCTATCGATAATTTTTGTTGACAAAAATTAAGTCAATGATACTATCATTAATTATTACTAGAAAAAAATTACTGATGATGTGTTAAGGAAAAATCAATCAGTCAATTACTCACAAATATTTTATCATTGCTATTGATAGATTAGCAATAAACTGTATATATATCATGGCTTTTACAAATGAAAAAATCCTTAGAAGAATACGTTAGTACTCTATTATTGATACAGGATTCAATATTATCAAAAATAATATCCAACAATAATACGATATATTTTGTTGTTCTATGATCAATACTATAGTTAGAGATTTAGCTTTCATTCACAAAATGTTAGAGTATAGGTTACCCTTTGAATTAGTCCTAGGCCATTCTAGAATACTGATCTAAGATATAGATTCCCTCATTTCCTTAAGCAAAACTTTTGAACCATTATGAGCAATTTTGTTTTCATAGCCCAATCATTATGAAATAATACCATTTGAATAACTAATTTCAAATTTAAACTTTAATTTAGAACTAATTATTTAATTTTGAAAAAACTTCTCTTTAGTATAACTTCCTTTGCATAGAAAGATCACATTCATCTAAGAATTATCATTCGATAATTCAAGTGAATCACCTCCATTGAGGATGTTTATTCTTCTTAAGCATACAACTTTTAGCTAAGACGAGTTGAGACCATTGTTTAATTATTTCACATGGCCTAACTATTCTTCCAGTAATGTATTATCAAGTGGACTACAATCACTTATATACTATTTTTCACTTGGGAATATGACATTTAGGCCTAACTATTCTTTCAGTTGAGCATGTTGAGTTCTAATTACCATGTCTTCTTTCTTAATATATTATATTAATTAAGAAATTTAATTATATGAGTAAAACATACTTCCTAATATATCTTTTTAACCTCTATACTTGAGTAATTATAATATTTTAAATATTTAAAACTAGTATTGTTTCAAGCATTTGACTACATTCAGAATGATTAAATCTTCATTTTCTTAAGTTATAAATTTAAAATCATAGTTATCTATCTCTCACATTGATGTCACTTTGTATTTATATCCAATTTGACTTAGAATCTTACGTTGTTCTGTGGGTTTAATCCTTATATTTAGGACCAGCATGTAATTTTGATACTTTGATTATCATTATTAATTAATAATATATTATAATATTATAATAAAAACTAATCTATCATATCCAAGTATTCTATGTTTGATCAAAGACATAAAAATTCTTCTTTATTAAATTAATCTAATTAAATATATTTCTAAACAAAATTAATATTTTTTCTTAAATATTTATAAATCAAGTTGAAAATTTCTAATTTAATTAGATCTCTTGGACAAACCAACTTGGTGGCATTTTAATAGTCATGTAGGCTAACCCTTAAACCATTCTTTTACCTTGCAAATATCAATAGGTGTGATAGGGATAACTTTATATGTTCATTTAGTTTATGGTATGGTATAGCTAAGATTGGATTAAAATCTATTTGGCTTCACCTAGTTGTGTGTGGCTAATTGACTATAATTGTGCACTTTGGTTTGTATTTGTTCACTAGAAAAGTTTTTTTAAGATCTTAAATATAAAAAAAAGCAATTTGTTTTGGCATAACTAAGTGTTGGTTTATTTAAAATTTTATTAAGATAAAAATATTTGAATGGTTGGAGTTGATTTTTTTATATTTTTTATTTAAATTATTTTTAGAGAGGAATGCCATATAAGTGGGTTAAAATAGAAGCAAAAGCTTTCATTAGTACCCTTTCATGTCTAGAAATGCATTCACATTTAGTTCATCTTGGATGAAAGAAGTAGGATCTTAAAAAGCCCGATACTTGTACCTTATGTCGATATATTAGTCTTAGATAATTTAATATTTTTGTACAAAAATTTCAATTGGGCTATATTTAAATAATTCCTAAGCACACTTTTTTTCCTTGGAATTATATACACTAACCCTACTACATTTATTATTTTTATTTTATGCTTTATTACATTTTATTTTTTAAAATATTAGATTATAAATCTTCTCCTTTTTAAATAACTTTAGATGCCTAGAATTAAGTATTTGAATAGACACTTATGAAAATATTTACTTTTAAATATACTTTTTATTAAATTTAAATTTAATCGTACAACTTTTTTAAAATTAAAATTGCATGATTATACGTCCAATTTTTAATCAACTCTCATCACATTATGTCTTATGGTATCATTGAGGTTATATATTGTATTTATCATGATATGGATTATATATATCATAATGTGTACTAACTCCACTTACACTTGGTTATGTGATAAATTAATTGAAATATTCTTAGATTGCTAGCTTGGAACATGCATATGTAGTAGAATTTTTTATCCAAGTTATATTACAAATCTTGTTGAGTAGTTTGAAATAGATAGTAATATTATCTCTTTCATTTTTTTTTATAGTTATTTGTTAATATTATAACGTTATAAGCCAATGTAATTCTTCTATATCCATCCAATAAATTCACCTATCAAGTAATATATGCCACTTTCATGATATTAAATTATAAGGTTCCTCTCAAAAATATAATCAAGGTTATTAATAGAGTAACTGATCATGGTCTAGTGGGTCAACTTCCTTCACAGTTAAATGATGATTTAAAGCTAAATGGTATATGAAGATAGATTCAAATGAACATGGTAAATTATGTTTACCATATATATATCAATTAACTTTTTTAAGCATATTTCTCATTTTGATTTTAATTGGAGATGTTTCTTTAATATACCATGCATAAATTAAAACATAATTACAACTCCTTCATCAAAGGTCTTTCATGAAGATACTTTAGAAGTGTCATCAACCATTGGATACATTTCTTATAGGAGATTAGTTAATTTATTTTATTTTTAGTATTCAAATTAAAAAAATATAAATTAATATGATTACTTTTCATGAGTATTTCATATGATTCTTAATTATTTAGTTGGTCTTATCTCAATAGAACTTTTCTTATATCTTCTTTTGAAATTTTTTATATTAACTATTTATTTATATTAGTTCACATTTTTAAAATCATCATTAGTCATAATTAGATGAAACACAGTAATTTTTAAAATTATATTTAATGTAGAATAAATTTATTATGATATAATTTTGATTTGATACATACTGAGAAAATATTATTTTTATTAATATTTCTAATCATATTATCGACATTAAAATTACAAAAAAAAAAAATGAAATTAATGATGAATCTAAAAAGAAACTGAGAAAATATTATTTTTAATAATATTTTTAATCATATTATCCACATTAAAATTACAAAAAAAATGAAATTAATGATGAATCTAAAAAGAAATACAATTGAATAGAGTTGAAGCTCAGAAAAATTACCAATGAAATATCTTATAGCACAAAGTTAAAAGATATGCTCAATTTAGAATAAAAGAGTGAAATGTATTAATGAGTTTAATTCTTGAAGATGTTAAATAGATCTAAATCAAATATAAGCAAATGTATAGTTGCGCATTTTAAAAATTTCTCTAGCATGACAAGTAATGACAAATATATTTCAATAAAATATTTGCCTAAAATTATTTAATGCTTTAATAAAAAAAATTTGAAAAACATCTCTAGAATTAATTAAGTTACTTAAAGATATGTGGTGTTCAAATTTGAAGAAAGTCTTATTAATATAAAGTGAATTGAGTGTTCTAAATATATTATAAATGTAAATATTTCAACATGAATTCAATAGATCATTTACATATGAACTTATCAGAGGATGCAATAATTGGAAGCCTTACTAAATTTTATTGGAATTATAAATTATATATTTTAGAATAAATTTGGTAATTTTTATTTAGGAATTCACTGCATATATTATATTTAAATATGACTATATATTCATCAACATAATTAAAATAATCTGACAACTTAGCCTATCTAGATGCTTTGTTTATAAGACATAGCTAGTATATATGAAATAGCATGTTCTCATTCTTATTACTTTGATCCATACGAAAACTATGACCAAATTACAATAAGTCATAATGGTAAAGATAATGGATAAAACATAGTACTTTTTTTCATTTCTACAGTAGCAAATGTAATGTACATATATAAAGATTCATGAGTGATAAAGAGGTGGAAGCTACAACTTGTATATAATACCAATTTTAGTGATTTAAAAACTTTTAAAAACCATACAAAAAAAAGCACATTTTCTATAACTAATTCAAAGACAAAAGATGGAGATTGAGGTAGCCATATGATTTGGGTTATATGTAAGTATTCTTTGACAAAAAATTCATAAATAAATTTTCAATATATCTTTTATTTTATACAATTTGAATTTAATATTTTATTATAATGCAATAACTTAATCCCTAAGATAATTATAGATTGAAAAAAAAAAAAGTTCCTTCACTAGATTCCCAAACTCTTAGCTTAGCAAGCTAGAGGAAGTGTAAATTGATGGAGTGGTTCACTTACTAGTTAATGGTTTTTGATACTATAATATTGCAATCATAAAAATAATTACACTATGGGAGAGTCAAGAAGGTTGGAATAGAAATAGGTCATGTGTTCAAAGCACTCACTTCTTAATCAATCTCCAAAGGCTTCTTTCTTAGGTTACTTCAACATAAACACCCTAATGGTGGAGTGCATGCTCCTCTCTTTTATAGCCTATTTATTGACTATATGATCATCTCTAACTATTTTTATTTTCTCATTACAAGTTGCATGTAAAAAATGAGAAAATAGTGGGGGGGAGAGGGGGAAGATACTTGAACTTGAGTTTCCTCACATTTTTCTTCACTTTCAAGATTCTACAAAAAGACAATTTTTTCACAGGAACAACACATGCATTATTCTCTAAAAGCAACTAAGAAAAACTCCTCAACTCATCCATCAAACCAACATAGAAGAACTAGAACTTATATTTCAAGAAAGAAAATAGGTTCATCTTCTTCAATCTCTCCCCCTGCTCCCTCCATCAGAATCTGAAGCACCTCCACCATTGAAGGCCTCCTCTGAACCCGCTGCTCCAAACACTGCAGCGCCACATTCAGAAGCCTCAACATCTCCTCCTCATTGTATCTTCCATTCAAACTCTGATCCACAGCCTCCAGAAGTCTGCCTTCCACCTTCAGATTCCGAAGCCTCCTGCAAAATTTCTTCAGCTGCTCATTCCTCCGACAGCAAAGCCCAAGCAGCATCGATCCATACAAGTAAACATCAAACTTCACTGTAACTTCTTCGAATGGCTGACACTCCGGTGGATCCCTCTCAGTCCTCTCACGCCTTATCGTATAGGGAGGACCATTCATGGCCAGACCAAAATCTCCCAACTTGGGATTGTAATCAGCATCCAGCATCACATTTCCTTCTTTGATATCTGAATGAATCACACGAGGCTGACATTCTTCATGAAGATAGACTAGAGCCTCTGCAACACCTACTGCAATGTTGTACCTGACGTGCCATCGGAGAGATCGATGGCGATTCCAAAGGGCTTCCTGCAGGCTTCTGTTGTGCATGTAGTCGTAGACAAGAAGGGGTTCGTTAGGGTTTTCATCGCACCACCCCCTCAGCTCGAGTATTTTGCCATGATGAAGGCGATGTATGGTGGTTGCTTCGATTTCGAAGCTGAGCTTGCTGGCAGCATTCTGATTGAATCTCTTCACTGCATACATTTGCACTGATCCACGAAAGATAGCTCTGTAGACAAAAGAATATCGTCCGCTGCCGAGCAGTTCTGATAGATTGAAATGTTTGGTGGCAGCGCTAAGTTCGCGGTATCTGTACCTAGGGAATCCTGCTAGTGCGTTTGAAAGGGGGGAAGAAACAGGAGTTTCTAGATCTGTGATTTCTGGCGTTTTTTCCTTCTTTTTGAAGATTTTTCTGAAATATGACCAGATAGCGGAGAGTGCTGACATAATGGCAAGCAGGGGTGAGCAGACGCCAAGAAGAAGGGCTTTTTTTTCGTGATCTTGAAACAGGGAAGAACCAGGCCTGGGTGTTTCAAAGCTCCGGGTTTTGATTACCGGACAGGTGACATTTTCCATCTCCTTATAAGGTGAGAAACCAGATTGCAGGAAGAGAAGAAACTGCTTTGTAAGATTGAATTTTGCGGAGGGAATTGGCTTCTTGATTTGATTTCTTCGGCGAAGAGGACAAACAGAAGGATATATGCTTCTTCTTGAATTCATTTCTGCTGAGTTTGCTTTGGGGGCAGGGAGGGAGAAGATGACGGATGTGCAGGAGGAGAGCTGTGAAGTAGCATTTTTCACAGAGGATCTGGGAGGGGAATCGAAGATCAGTTTGGGTGTCGAAGCAGAGCTGTATTTGCAGTGGAGAGATGAGGGAGGGGAAGGAAGGAGGAGGAAGAGGAGGACCAGAAAGTGGATGCAGTGAGTTCTCTCTTGATCCATTTACGAAGCTTTGGTTGAGGAGATTAGAAGAGCAAGAGAAGCAGAGAAGGGAGGATTTCTTGGATGCGTCGGGTTAGAATGGGGAGTTCTTGGAGGCGATCGAAGCTCGGCGGGAAGAAAAAAATGGGTTTTTTAAGGGGAATATTTTAAAAATCTGTTTCATTGTTCTGTTAAAAATTTGTTGGAAAATTTACATACATACCACTCAATTCTTATGTATTTACACATCTAACTTCTAAACTTCAATTTTTACAAATATGGCACCGACCCTATGTATGCAAAGGTGTATTTTACTTAAAAAAAAAGTTAAAAATAGGCTATCAAAATGGCTTGTTGTTCGCAAACCATGTTCGGCAGCTCGTTCGGTAAGTTAACTAGCCGAACACGAACAACATGTTCGATTCGTTTTGACTCGAGATACTACTAATCAATTATATATATATATATTGATGAGTGGTAACTCTAAAAAATTTAATTGACTACAAGGCTACAAAAATATATTATCCATTAAAAGTATTAATTAAGAAATAGAATAACAATTATTAAATTTGATTCAAATGATGTTTTAATATAAACAATAATTTTTAAATCTTGCCCCAACC